TAAGAGGGGTAAAGCCAACCCTCACAAGAGAACGAATCTGGGGTAGTCGAGCATACGTCACATATCCTCAGGAGTTGAGGAGCACGGCTTCGATGACAAAACTACATAGTCCCCGTGGCTGGCTGGGATACTTCGTCGGGTGTGAAAGTGAAGCAATGTATCATATTTACTCTCCGGAAAAGAATAAGGTGTACCGTATTGGAGTTGCTAGGGTCGAGGACGGTGAGGGTCTGAACGACCCTCATGACGCACCATGTCTTGAAGACAGGGTTCCTATCCCGGATCTTGATATTCCAAGCAATACTCCCTCGGAAGACGAAAGCCAAGCTTCCAGCGAGAAGGACAGTGATCAAGCTGGGCCACACAACGCTAATCACGATTGGCAGAGTACAGGCTCTTTGGAAGAAGAAGGGATCGGCCAAGAGCAAAACCCTTCTGAAGCGTGGCACGAGTCACGAGATGAGATCGAAAGCGCCGACGATGAATATGAAACCGACGAAGAATCAATAACCCCAGTTGTGTCCAGATATTTCAATCATTCCAAACACGCCGGTATGGCTAAACGGAAAGCTACGGATGCTCCGATAGTGGCTCCGAGGAAAAGCCGAAGAGCGACACACGATTCATTTGAAGCTGAATTCGCGCATTCAGACTCAAATGCGACAGACTCAAACGATGAATCCTGGTATTACTCGGACGATGGGAAGATTTCTCAGGCTTACTGGCAATTCGTGAGAAAACATGGCGGTAACAATATGAAGACTTTTCTTCCCGATGACAATAAATGTGATCGCTGTTTCCGGAATGGAAGGAGATGCGACTCTGCAGAAAATGGAATGCCTTGTTCTATATGCAGAAAGGAGAACCAAGGCTGCAGACCACAGTCAAAAGAAACGAGAAAGTTAGTTCTTCCTGAGAACCGTCACAAGCGTAAAGAAATTGGAAGAGTACAACAGGACCAGCCATGCAGAAGATGCTTCCAGACGAACCGTACTTGTTTTCTCATTGACCCAAGCAACCCAAAATGCGAAGCATGTCAAAAAGCCAAGATCAATTGCAATTGGAACCTAGACGGGGCAAAAACGTCAACAGCACGGCAGAAAAGAAGACAGGCTGAAAAGGAGGAAAAGCATAAAAAGCTCGGATTTGTACCAGTTCCTCGTGATCAGAAATGCTACCGGTGCGCAACAAAAATAATGGCATGCGATGGGAAGATTCCGTGCAACAAGTGCAACACCCTTCTTCAACGCTTAGCATGTCGGCCGCAGGGCGTGGATGATTTACCTCCTTGTGATCAGTGCAGAAATGGAATCAGGAGTGGAAAAAAGTGTGACCGCGGACGACCTTGTAAGGCATGCATCCACGGAAAGACAACATGCAGCTACAAAGCCCAGGATGGTTTGTTAACCAGAATCTATCGCGTCCCTGATTCTCCGCTTCCAACTGGTTTCTCCTCCGTGGGCCCTCTTGAGGAAGGAGATCTGTCTGATGAAGAATGCGTGCGCTGCCGAAGAAGTAAATTGAACTGCGACGGGGGACAACCCTGTTACCCATGCGTCAAAGCACAGCCCAACACCCACGTTGCTAATTGCAACTATCGCCGCTCTGACGGGACATATGAATCGTGGGCGATTCGTCCATTTGAGTTGAAAGCTCTAGGCGAGCCGAATCTCCGCGAAGACTACGAAAAATACACGGGTCGAAGGAAGTCTAGAATTCCAGGAGATGTCCACGAATTTGGAAAAACATCTGACATCGGACAAAAGAAGGTGGAACTCATTCCATATATAGGACGAGAAACAGTTAACACCGAACGGGATAAAAAAGAGGTGAATACTGAACAAGACGTGGACAAGAGTGGCCACAAGGAATTCAAGTTCGGGCTATCTGCGTATGGTGGACACACTGTGCCGGCCCTCCAATTGAAGCCGAGTAGCACCAATCGTGCAAAATACCATCAGGCTAAAGTGGAAGAACTAAAGTCCCACGAAGAGAAAGGAACGTGGACTATCGTTCCACTCGACAAAGGAATTAAACCGGTTACCTCACGATGGGTCACCACAGACAAATACGGAGCAGACGGGAATGTTATCAGGCACAAGGCTCGTTTAGTAGCTAGGGGTTTTCAGCAGGAAGAGGGTCTTGATTATGAGGAGACGTTTGCCTCCGTTGTCAAATCCGCTTCAACCCGCATATTGCTCGCGTTGGCAGCGATTTGCCATTGGCACATTCACCAGGGAGATGTCAAGACGGCTTTCCTAAACAGCAACTTGGACAAGCCAGTCCATATGAGACCGCCTAGTGATGTACAATTAACGCGTGGATGCTGTTTGCTGCTTCTGAAGGCCCTCTATGGTTTAAAGCAATCACCTCGAGCATGGTATCAGAAACTCCGGGACACCCTTGTCCGCTGGGGTTGGCGAATGTCCGCTTACGATCCGTGCGTCTTTATCAATGACATAACCGGACTTATCCTCGAGGTCCACGTGGACGACATAAACGTGATGGGCAAAACCCTTCAGACAATCCTTGACTTCAAGGCACAATTTTCGAAGGAATTTCCGATGTCCGACGAGGGGGAGTGCTCCTGGTATTTAGGAATGCACATCGAGCAGAAGCCTGGAGAAATCCATCTCCATCAAAAACAATACATCGACCAAATGGTCAATAAATATGGATTCAAAGATGCAGCTCCTGTCATGACTCCTCTTGACATGAAGACCAAGCTAGCGAAACAGGGCGACTATGTTGCCAACACCAAATTCCGCAAAGACTATCAGTCAAAGGTCGGATCACTCAATTTCAGCAGCAATCAGACAAGACCGGACATTGCTTTTGCTACCGGATATGTAGCTCGATACGCATCCAATCCAAACCGGGCTCACATGGATGCCGTGGATCGCATTTTTGCGTATCTGAAGAGCGATGCTAGGAAGGGAATTGTCTATTCAGATAAACACGGTCTTCAGCTGAGGGGTTTCGTCGACAGCGACTTTGCCGGATGTGAGGACTCGCGCAAGTCGACAACTGGATGGGTGTTCACGCTTGCTGGAGGGCCCATATCGTGGTCATCCCAGAGACAAAAAACAGTGGCTACATCAACCATGGACGCGGAGTACATTGCATGCGCCGAGGCTGCGAAGGAAGCTATGTGGATTCGCAACTTTATCAATGACCTCCGCATCCCCGGAGTACACATTGACAAAGTTCCCCTTTATATCGACAATAACGCAGCCTTGAAGCTCACCAGGAATCCAGAGTTCCACAGCAGGGCCAAACACATTGACGTCAAGCATAACTTCATTCGGGAAAAGGTGGAGGAAGGTCTTATTGATACCCAGCGTGTCAATACAAAGGACAACTTGGCAGATATTTTCACCAAAGCTTTACCGAGGTCTACACACGAAGACCTTGTGGAACGTCTGAATATCCATTCAGGGGGAGGTGTTGAGTCTGCAATTTCGTTTAAAGAAAGATCAGATAATGCCAGAGCATATTCTGGGATCCTTGAGGTGCCTCGACCCCTTCGGGTCCTCAGCACAGGGGGAGAGTTGGATCCCAGGTCACGTGATGCATATAGATCTATAGGAGTGGCTGCCTGTTAGGCAGACACTCCGCTAGGCAGCAGGGAGATGAGCTGCTGCAACTACAAATAGCTGGATCTCTCAATATAGATCAATATCACACTTGTACCTCAATCCATGGTTCAACTGCCGAAGCGATATGCAGGCTACCACAACTATATGTATCCTTGTACGTACAAGTAGAGTGTACCCGAAACCACGCTAATCTATTCTTAAATCCGGCATAAAATATTCTTTGATAAGACAAGAAAGCTCCTTTTCTTTTTTTAATTCTAGAACAACTACTTTACGTATAGTAGCGTTACTTTATGCGTTACTCTTTTTGCACTCGTACCTCTGTGTCCCTACTGAGAGCTGCTAGAATCTCTGCACAATATGGCACCGAAAGCAGGTCAAAGCTACAGACACGCTCGAAATCAGTTTCCCAAACTCTATTTGCACTATGCCTATTACGATTACTCTACCCCTGGCCGTATTCTTGGCGGTATCCTGCGATAATGGCATAAAAAATAGCTATTATATTATGGTTGTATAGGGAATACGTTTTGTCGAACCAGTGGTTGTAGAGTAACCGGAGGCAGATTAGCACGATATCTAATATAGCTGGGGAAATAATGAGATTGTAACAGTTGGCGACGACTAGAATCATCCGGCGTGGGTGAGTAATCGAAATATAAGCTTTTACCAAGCAATACGACAGCTTCAGATTAGCGAGGCGGGTAGACTTGCGACGTCGCTGCGCCTCGAGAAGGCTTGTCTGGCTTGCTTACACGTCCGTTTCCCACTTTCCATCAATCATTCGCACTCGTCAAGACCAAACACCGTGGATATAGTCCATATAGCCCATCAGCCCCAGACTTGGCATGCATAGTGATGCATGAATCACTCCCCAGTGAATAACTTTGCTATCAAAGCTGCTTGTCTGGATTGCACACAAAAGCGACGGGTGCGGAGATAAGAGAAAAAGGGGGCCGTGATTTCGACGCTGATATAAACGATACAACTTTCGATGTTTGGCGTCTACAGAGTCCAATGTGAGGGCCTCGCATCCTTTTGGGTTGCAACGGTGCCATGAGCTTAGCATCGCTGGAGCATAATTTTATAATTTTTGGGACTTTCCCCGATCAGACCGGCGATACGAGCCAGTGAACTTTGGCCCTGTGTGGCGCTAGGTAGTCATGGTGTCTTCGGTCTGGGTTGCTTGCCAAGTGCTGGATTGGAGCCACGGACCCTTTCCATAATCAAGGGCCCCGGCTCAATTCTAGGGGCAGATGTATCTTTTACCGAGATGAGACGTACTTGAGCCTTCTTATCCCAGAAATTTAACCATTAGTCGATTTCCTTTTTTCCTTTTTGTCAAGCCTAACTCTTTTCTTCTGTGCACTTCTGTCCTTCGCTTTATTGCGAACTATCAACATGCACAAGTTTCTCGCCGCTCTTCTCTTCGCAGCCTCGGCGCTGGCTACCCCTGCTCCAGATACTACGGCCACCGCAGAGTCAATTGGCACCGAGACTAATTCCGACGCCGACTCGGCTGCCTCTGCCGCTGCCGCTGCCTTGATTGCTGAGATCCCCAGCTCAGTGTTGACGGTCATGGAGACAGCCATCCCGTACTCATGGCAGGCCGAAATTTTAACAAATCCCACTTTCCGCTCCTCCGTTGTGAGTGCTGCTGAGGCTGGGACGTTCCCAGCTTGGTTCAATGACCTGCCCAACAGCGTCAAGGCATGGGCAACCTCGAATTTCGATGCCCAGATTATTGGCGTCCCAGCGACTACCCAAGACACCGTGTCCGAGACGAGTTCTAGCGTTATGGTTACTAGCCAGACTGCTTCAAATGCCGCCCAGACCACTTTGCCCGACTCCTCCTCTGCCACCACTTCGAGCTCAGGTTCTGGCTCCAGCTCGGGCTCGAGCTCTGCGTCAGCTTCTCCCTCATCTTCAAAGTCGACTGGTGGTGCCCCTGCACCTAGCGGCGGTGTTGCTATGGGCGTTGCCGGTGCAGCCGGCGTTTTCGTTCTCGCTCTTGCGCTGTAGAGCATGGTTCCCCCCGCTAGCTCTACCATTAGGCTTTTATGACTTTTGTGTTATCTAGGCAATATAGTCTAAGTTATATATACAACCCAATCTGCCCCACGGGAGGAGAATCATAAAATCAATGAAAAATAAATACGCCCTCCAGAGCTCACTGAGGATATTCCATCACTGCAGGAGCCTGATAGCCCACCCGGGGACGGGTATATTGCGCCTCCATCTCCTTCTCCTGCTGTAAGAGAAAACAGCACCGGCAAATCAAGCCCCTATACAGTCTTTCAAGCTGAGCCACTAATGCCAAAGCGTTGACGGATCTCGCGGCGTTTCATCATTAAAGGGCTCGGAGACGAGAGGAGGTTCTCCGTAAAAGGTCACACGGGTAACACGATTCCAGTAGGCCGAGATGATTTGTTGGTGATTTGTTGGTCAAGTTTCATAGGGATATAAGTAGAGATCAGCCGGATCCACATGTCTTTGTGGGGGGATGCATTCCCAAAAGGGAACTAAACCACTTGTTGGTGTTTTGAGACTCTGCCTTTTGTATTTCCATAGGTATGTAGTGACGTAGTGATTGATTTTACTTCATAAGCAAAACAAAGGTAGAACGAGAAATACAATTCTCTTGGACTCCGTCTTCGTTGCCTCCAGAAGAGTTGATATTCCTGCTCTGTCATGATAACAGTAAGTATAATGGAGGTGCATATAAGGACTACCCAGAAAAGTACGTGTAAAATACAGGGTGATCGCTAGGACAAGCAGCACAGCAAGTAAAAGAAATTTACATATCATCCACATCATCACCGGCCTTCGAGCCACCCTTCTTCAAATTCGACATCTCATACTCATCCTCCTTATGGCCGGTACCACGCTCTCCGGCCGACATGGCAATAGCCTGGCGGCCCGTGTCGGAAGACTCGAGGAACTCGCGCAAGCGACGCTTGCCTTCTTCCAGGGCTTGCTGGGAGGCCGCTTCGGTCATTTTGAGCATAGGGCCCCAGAGGTTGAGCTGGTAGGTTATGTATGCGCCGATGGCGCAGACGAATAGGAGGATGAAGTAGGCTGGGTTGCGGAGAACTAGGGGAATTTTGTTAGTATAGGATATAGGTGTGGGGACGTGTGGTTGTGAAGGAGGACTTACCAGCCCAGATCTCGTTCCAGCCTAGGGCTAGAAGCAGACCGTAGAAATACAATGGCACTTGTGTCATACCGCCGATAGCACTGCGCTTGGCTTCGACGTAGACGCCGTCTGCGGTCTTCTTGAAGCGCACGGTTAGTTCTTGGCGCTTTGAATCGCTGAGGATGGTCATTTCCTCTTCCAGGCTCTTGCCCTCGTCTTCGTCTACACCACCGATTGGTGGCAAGTCCTCCTCGTCCGCGGATGTTGCGGTGCTAGGAGTGTGTCCGATCCATCGGTCAAGCGGGGGAGGGGCGGAGGTCTTTTCCAAACGGAATCGAGATAGAAGAGGAATCACAGTCAAGGTGGACTCGCGAGCACGGGTGTAAATGCCTTCGATATCATCAGTTGGGCGCCAGATGCGCGGCACACCTTCCTCATCGTAGCGGAACTTGTCCTCAAAGTTCTCACGGAGCTTGAGGAGCAGGTTGCCCTCAATCATTTCCTCGTCGATCTTGGCACGGAGAACACCCCATGACTTACGCCGCAGACGCCAGAGTCCGACATCGACCTCATCGAGGCTAGCGTCGAAGCTGCTCGCACGGTCTGTGAACCGTCGTTCGGCATCGAGAACAGTCTCCTCGAACAGGTTCCAGATCCGATCCCAGAAAGCCTTCTCAGTAGGCTTCTCTCCGTTCTCAGGAGCGCCACCGCCAGCTCTTCCAGATCCAAGTGCATTGAACTCGAGGCCAACCGATTCACCAAGGCGAGATTGCACCCAGCGCTCGACGCGGGTAGCCAAACGTCTCATTTCATCACGGCGGAGTCGGGCACTGACCTCCGACAGCTCCTTCTGATAAAGAGCCAGCTCTTGCTTGTAGTCACTCCACTTGGCACCCTCAACCAATGTAGAGCGGGCAACCTCCTCAAACTTCTCCATCGAGCCCTGGGCTTCCCGAGTTACAATCTCGGCAAAGTCATAGCTACCACCCTTCTTCTGACCATCCTTCACAGCAGCAGAGACTGATTCGCTGAATTCGCGAATTCCGGACTTGTGGGCTGCCGAAAGCTGACCGTGGAACAGGGCCTTGAGGCGGGTATCGACCTTGTTCTCAAGCTCGGCACTCTTGCGCTGGTAAACACCCTTGTGGTACCGGCTAGCTTCTGTCTGGAAGCTCTTCAGGGTCTTGGAGCGAGCACCGCGCATGGCGACACCCAGTCCACCAAGGACCTCTGGTGCACCAAGGCGGACGGCCTCGGCCTGCTTATCTTCAAATGCGACGATCGCCTCATCAAAGCCAATCATCACTTCGCGCAGAATCTCGTCGCAACGAAACTGGGCAAGCAGCTCCTGCTGGGTTGGCAAGTCCAAGTCTTTATTGTTGACAATTTGATCCCAAATGCCCTCCGCATAATGCGAGAATCCATCAGCTGGGATGCGACGGTGGTATTCAGGTAGGAAAACACCTCCTTCGGAGAACTCGCCCTTAAGCGCATCCCTCTTAGGATCTCGGTGTCCCTCCCGGAAGCGCAAGCCAAGCTTCTTTGCCTCTGTTACAAACTGGTCTGGCTGGTATCCCTTATGCGGAAGTCCGTAGAATTGGAAGTCAAAGTAATCATGGATCGTGGAGTTCTCTAACCCAGCAGGCTTCGATATCGTCGCCCACAGGCGGGACAAGTCTTCCAATAATGTCTTCTGGAGGTTCTTGAGCGGTGTCGTGCCGATGAAATCACGAATGACGAAGAAAAGGAGAGAGCGGTGGGTAGTACTGCAAGCTGATTAGCGCCTAGACCGGAGATAGCATAGGCCAAGTCAAATGCCACATACTGTTTATCCTTCAGGAAAAGCTGCAGGTTGACTTCAAAGACAGTCTTCAACAATCCCATGTTGGCACCCTGGTACAAGCCAACCTGGTGTTCCCAGATATTGACAATAAGAACCTCACTCGTTGCTAGCGCAAAAAGCGCACTCTTGCGCTCAAAGTCCTGATCCTCGCCTCTCTCGCGGCCATCCGTACCCTCCACATCCATAACCAGGATATTATCCGCCATGCGCTCCTCCGCGCCGGCCTCGCCTTGCTTTTTATTGTTCGAGAGCCAGATACCCTTTGTTGTTTGCCTTCTCTCCAGCTCGGACATCACTGAGAACTCGGTGCCGAAAAGCTGATTGAGCAGTGTTGACTTTCCAGTGGACTGCGACCCGAACACGGAGATGAGGTGGTAGTTGAAGCCGGCCGGCGTGACATTTTCGAGAGTCAAATATTTGGACAAGTTGGGACTATAGGGATGAGATTAGTATCGGAGACGAGAGATCATGGTGATCGTGGTGGTGGTGGCCAAGCGCATTTGAGGGGGTCTGGGTCTAGGCGTAGGTGGCCGTACTTGAACTCCTTATTCTCATCAATGACCTGCACGCCATGCTCGTAGGATGCGGTGTCGCCGTCGCCACCGATCGAGGCAAAGTGGCCATTGGAAAGGACAGATGGCGCTGTTGGGCTTCGTTCTAATCCTGAGGGGCGTCGTTCAGACATGGTCGATCTATTGCTCCCTGTGCTATGTGCTGAGGAAGGTGTCAACTCCGGGTAGCCAGAGATGTTAGAGCAAAGACGGGAGGATCTAAACAGAACAAAGAAAAAAAGGACAAAACGTGTGGAATAGGAAGAATCACAAGGTTGTTTCACGAGGTCATTGAGGTCCCGAGGTCGTTGCTGGGGAAAACATTACATAACCCGGTGGCGTGTGAAGTCATCTGGAGATCGATATGGGGATAATTTATGTTAAAGTTTGGAGTTTGTTAAATTGTTTTTAGTTGATAAACACCTTCCAGTTGGTTTGTCCCTAGTTATCTACTCTTGAGGAGTTTCCATGCGCGGAATAGATGAGAGATCGTTTGTTCGTCATAATATACAGCCACGCTCTATATACATGGAAGGGTATCTAAATCATTGAGGCGGCACTCCATCGTACCAGTTCAGGTTCCAGCCCTGATCAAGTCCAAGATCAACATTAGGATTAGGCCACATGTACTGGCCGAAATCATCAAACAATCCACTAAATGCGTTGACTTCCAAGCCAACAAACGGGTTTCCCGGTGGCTCTCCCCTTGGAAGCCAAGATTCATCGGGATACCCAGGTCCCAAGGACGGTGTGAGGTTGTCGTCATCTAGGGCCTCGGTGTTGGTGGTCGAGGGGCCTTCTGGGTCAGAAATGGGCGGCGTGTAGGGCACAGAGGGATGCTGTCTGGGGCAAGAGGCTTCTGTTCCCGCTGTATTTGATATAGTCGATTCCTGGTCTTTATTTTTGGCAGAACCCTTGAAGAATTTGGTTCCTGCGCCCACTGTAATAGTGCCAAAGTAGGGCACAGTGATTTTGCAGCTTGTCATGTTGCTCCAGTCTGGCTTGATCCCCCTAGTATCAAAGATGGCACCCAGAATATTCGCGGACTCGACGGCAACGGAGCCTCCAGGTTCTGTTGCCGCTCGACGAAGAATTTCGACAACCTTTTCTACCAGCCCCCAGTCTTTCTCGTCTTGCTCTGTGCTGTGGTCCGGCGATTCATCAGAGTAACCATGCAGATGAACGATCAGAAGCATGCAGAGTGTGAATGCCATGAAATCCATCATCTTGCACATGTACGGTTTGCTTGTTGATCGGAGCACCTTGTACAGCATCAAGCCTTCTCGTGCAGACTCGATCGCGATGGAATGACAGGGTCTGAATTGAGGTTTGTGGGGGGATTGTAGCATCAGAGGAAGATGAAGAAGAGCACGGAGTAGTTTGAGCATAAATTGCAGTGGAACCCTTTCGAGGTAATGCTCCCTTTTTTCGCCCGGAGAAGGATCCGCACTGCGGAGATGATTGGGCATGGATTTCCAGGAGTCCTGTAGTTCCTGATCCAGTCGCATTGTTGCTTCGAGGGACATATTGGATGGATCTTGCATTCTGTCCACCATGTGTCCTGTGATTATACCAATACGGAGCAAGTATGCCTCTGGGGCTGCAATATTCGTATTGAGACGTTGCTCAACCTGCGGTAAGAAGAAGCCCTCAGCGACCCCATAAGGCAAGCCAAGAATGAGACTGAGAGATCTGTCTGATGTTCCCAGCGAACACCAAATCTTGAGACGCCGTTCATACAGTGAATCTCCTGGCCTAGGAACCTTGGTTGATAGATGCATTCCAGCCAGGTGGGCAAATTCGATCGCTCGGCGATTCACTAGCCAAGCTTTTCGAAGCCGGCCTTCGGTCAAATGCAGCTTGGAAAGCAACATCTGACATTCAATCCCTGGTAGTGTAGCCGCAAAATCATCGTCGCGAACGATCAAACGGTCCACCGCAGTGACGCATCGATCATAGAATACCTGAGGATCAAATGGCTCAGTCAAACCTTGGAAACAAAAGTCTTCCGGAGCATGAATCGCACTGATGCAAAGACACATGAGTGCCTTTGCGACTTCGGCGGGTGCCACAAGAGCTTCGTTGCAATTGTCAAGAACGACAAGCCTCTTATCCCTTCGGTTGAATAACTCTGGGAAATGATCTTGCCACACGAACCAGTGGAAGGACGCGTTGATGATTTTGTTCACGTCTGGTGTTGGAGGAAGCATAGACAGAAGTTCTGCACGCACGGCATGCGCCTTGGGCGACATATCCTTGACGCCGGCGAATTTATCGTTATTCGACGAGTCCTCGCGACGGCTCACGAGGTAGTTGTCGAAAAGTTGCAGAACTGGCGCATTTCGGATCTGGTCACTGGATGGGCCTAGTTCGTCTGACTCGGCTTCGAGGGGACATGTTTCTGTCATACCCGGACATTTTATCGCTGGGTAATGTTAGCGATGTGGTGTGGTTTCATACACGTCCAAGATATACTAACACTGGGTTGGCTCATGACGCTCACTAGACGGAGTGCGCGAGCTCCGTTGATCTATTCGTTTGGCCAAACCCTCCACAAGATGTTCCAGTTGTGCAACTCGTTCCCGGAGGCTGTATGGTTGCTCTCCTTGGGAGAACTGGGAACCTGATAGTGGAGGGGTAATGACAGTGTGCTCTTGGTCGATACATTTCGTCCCTCTGGATCGACATTCATTGCAGACTCCAGGGCGATCTGGGTGGAATGTGCATCGGATCTTGCGCCGCCGACCTATAAATAGTCATTATCAGCAATGGGATGAGAAGCAATGTCGCTTTGGCACATACACTCGGTGCAGCTCTTAGTCCCCTTCCTCATCCTCTTGCGGGGGGTCCTTGATCAGTCCAGTCGTCCATGACTGTGACTTATAAAGGCAATTTGCAATAGATGTGTGTATTAGCTGCAGATGGATCAGATAAGAGAGCTTTGCAGCTCGTCATAGCATGGTGGCAAGTCACTATTCTCCGTTCTCCAGAGCAAAGCAAGGGAGCGAAAAAAGAAAGAAGTCAGAGATCAGACCTGCAGCTATGTAATCAGTGTCAACGAGTCAGAATATTCCTAAAAGAAGTACGTGTTGGGTCGTTGCCTATAGATTCTCGTCCGTCAAGTTCGGCCGAAGTGGTGCGGTCAAAGATTCGTCCGAGCCAATCGGATGCAGCGTCTGCTTACCTCCGTATAAGTCGGGCGATCTATAAAACCGACTGTGTTGTCTGATTCTTTGGTTAAAACTGGATTCGGGCTATAATTGCCATTGTTTACCTTATTTGAGAGTGACAGATTGGAGTCGCTCTTCTACATTGGCGTACTGACAAAATTAAGACGGGCAGCGAAGACTTCACTGCCTACTGGATATTGATTGAATTGGACAAGCTGAACTTTGAGAAATTGAGTCTGAATACATTTTCACGGGAGTGGAGAATAATAGGAGAAAATCTGACTACATTCCAAGATGGTAGAGATACATGGACAAGATTCAATCGAAAACTCCGGATTACCGCCGGATCCTCGTACAGATCGATGATTCCCGCGCTGTGAAATATAAGGTGCCTAACAAACAAGATGGAAGAAAAGGGGTTTCATAATACAAGGGTCAGGAATTCCGACCAGGGGTGCGTGAAGGGACCATTTACTCGACGACACGGGTGATCAAACCAGTGGCGACGGTGCGGCCACCCTCACGGATGTTGAAGCGCTGACCGCTCTCGGCAGCGACGGGGTGGTGGGTCTTGAGGATCATCTCGACGTTGTCACCGGGCATGACACGCTTGGAGAGATCGCCATCGGGGAAGCTGAGATCACCGGCTTCATCGGCAGTACGGATGTAGACCTGGGGACGGTAGTTGGCGCCGAAGCCAGTACGGCGACCACCCTCAGCCTCGGTCAGAACGTACATGGAGACCAGGAACTTGTTGCTGGCCTTGGTGCTCTGTGGAGCAGCAACAACCATACCACGGCGGAGATCCTCACGGCGGACACCACGGAGGAGGAGACCAGAGTTGTCACCAGCACGGGACTCGTCACAGGACTTCTTGAAGGTCTCAATGTCGGTAACCTTGGTCTTGATGGGGTTACCGTCGTTGGTAGCGCCGACAATCTCGACTTCGGTATCCTTCTTCAGGAGACCACGCTCGACACGTCCAGAGACGACGGTACCACGGCCAGGAATGGAGAAGACTTCCTCAATGGACATGAGGAAAGGCTTGTCCAAATCACGCTCAGGGGTGGGGATCCAGGTGTCGACAGCCTTCATGAGCTTGTCGATCTGCTCGGTACCGATGTCGGGACGGCGGTTCTCGAGGGCACAGAGGGCCGAGCCGAAGATGATAGGGGTCTCCTCACCCTCGAAGCCGTAGGTGGAGAGAAGCTCACGCATCTCAAGCTCGACGAGCTCAAGCATCTCGGGATCCTCAACGGCATCGACCTTGTTGACGAACACAACAATCTTCTGGACACCGACCTGGCGGGCAAGCAGCAAGTGCTCACGAGTCTGGGGCCTGTTGTGTGATTTCATTAGCCCACTTCCAATCCAATCCTATAGACTATGGGGCCCATACATCTGACCGTCGGAGGCAGCAACGACGACAATGGCGCCATCCATGTTGGCAGCACCAGTAATCATGTTCTTAATGTAATCGGCGTGACCGGGGCAGTCGACGTGTGCGTAGTGACGGTCCTCAGTCGCGAACTCAATGTGAGCAGTCGAGATAGTGATACCACGCTTGCGCTCCTCGGGGAGCCTTGTCAATGGCGGCATACTCGAGGAAGTTGGCAAGACCCTTGGAGGCCTGGTGCTTAGTGATGGCGGCAGTGAGGGTGGTCTATGGCGCATGCGTTAGATTCGATGGCGAAGGGTGTCGGAAGAAGTCGCGAATGGCTTACCTTGCCGTGATCGACGTGACCAATGGTACCTGGACAGGAATATCTTAGCATCAAGTCCAGTCAAGCGCAATGACATTCGTCTTACCAATGTTCACATGGGGCTTGTTACGCTCGAAAGCAGTAGCCAGGCCACGGGCGGCCACCTTGTTGCTGAAGACATGGTGGACGGGGTTGACGGCAGTTGGGCGCAGCAGGGAAGACCGGCTGGTGCGCGCCAAAAGGTTCAATGAACGGGAGATGCTCGACATCTTGGTTCAATTGACAAAAAGATAAAAGGAAAAGAAAGGCAAGAAGAAACAGATGTAAAGATGGAAGAGAAGAAGCCCAGATCAACACCAAATTTTTTAGTCAGACGGCGATTCAGGGAGGTGCTTAGTCATCGGCCAATCAGGACGCCGGAATTGCGGAGGTTTCGCCGTCATCAGGAAGTAGATGGGCTGAAGAGATGCAAAGGAGCGCAATGGAGTTGGAATAGACGGTTATTCTGAGCTATGTCCTGTATATGGGGGCTTTTTCCTGTATATGGGTTTATAGAGTACCGGGCAATGCGCGTGTACCTACGTCATGCCATATACAGAGTATCAGTCAAGTTCAGCTGTCAACCTTGGAAGTTATTGAAGAGCTGTCATATATTGCACGAAAGCTCTATTCAGAGCAGTGCTATGTAGCTTATATCTTGCACACTCCAGTTCCACATAATATACACAATGTCCAGTCCTCCTAATTGTCCTTCTGCACGGTGAAGGTAACTTGCTTTCCAGGTTCGCCCTCCATCGCCTTGGTCTGATTAGCACCAGCCTCTCTCACAGTGTTGAGTACTCTCTGCATGACATGCTTGATCTCATCTACGGTTGCCTTGCGCTTGTGCCGTTTTGCGGTCAAAATGACCTCCACCCTCCGACCTTTGTCCAAAAAGGTTGTGAGCTGTTTCAACCGGTGTGAGAGATCATGGGCATCGATGGCCCAGTTCAACTCGATTGACTTCACTGAAGTCTTGGTTGCTCGTGACGCTTTGGCCTTGGCTTTTTCGGTTGCCCGCACTTCCTTCTTGTTGAAGACTTTGCACACCGGAAGTTGATCACCATTTGCGGGTTGAACCTGCATAAGGAAATGATCTTTGTGGTCGAAGGACTGAAGGACCTCTTCGAGTCTGGTTGGGGCTTCTAGGTTGCCTTCTTCGTTGACCAGTTGTATGAATCTTGCAGTAATAGCCTCGTTTTTCGGGGGCAGTTGGATGGGTGGGCGGTATTCACGGAGAGATAGGAAATGTGACTGTTGGAAGAATCGAATCTGGACTCCATTTCGCAGAGTATTGGGAAGAATGGCAGTTCTGGAGATGCGGCCAGGTGTGATGAAGATCTGGCGCAAGGCCTGGGCGGACGACACGAGACCGCGAGTGTGGCTCATGCTGACAGCAGGAGGATTTTGAAGAAGTGCATAGGAGAATCGTAGAATATTTGGAGTGAAAGGCCAAAGAGTCAAGTGAGGAGTGACGAATTGGGAAGATATCGGGGAATCGGGGAACGGTATTCAGCCACATCTGCGCCACAGCCCTGAAACCCTTGGATCTCCTTTCTCCTGACAATTTTCCCTGAACATCTCTCCAGCTATTCTTTCTGGCCCGGCTTGGTGTTTTTGGAGGATCAATGTTCGCTTGCTTGTTTTCTTTCCCTTCCTATTAAACCGTCCGGTCGTTCTTTCATCGTCCTTGGACATTCGCCACCTGTCACTATATTCGGCCATTTGCTCGCATGTCGACTGGAGTCGACAAACAAGACAACAAACTCCACCTCGATTCAATCGCCCGTCAACGCTCCCCTCAGAGCAACGGATCCGTCTCTCAGTCGGTCCAGATCAATCGAACTGAAGAACAAGCCAACATGGCACAAAGCCAAAGATCGCGATATCTGAAGACGGGGGCTATCATCGCCTTCATCTTCATGGTGTTGGTGTGGCTTTCCCCGTCTAAGCCTGCTACTTCTAGCTTTACTCACGGTATGTGTTTCCCATGCGCTAGCCGCTTTACATAACTGATTGTTTTGCAGAGCAACCGCCTTCAAGCAGCGGCGCGTCGTCGACCACGAAATGTACCAAGTCCTCCGACCCTTCCAAGCCCCTGATTCAATATGCCCTTATGATCGATGCTGGTAGCACCGGGTCTCGTATTCACGTCTACCGATTCAACAACTGCGGCTCTACCCCAGAACTTGAAAATGAGGTTTTCGAGCAAACCAAGAAGGTGGAAGGTTCTAGCTCCGGTCTCAGCTCTTTCAAAGAAGACGCTGAAGGTGCTGCCCACAGTCTGGACCCTCTTATGGATGTCGCTTTGAAGTCCGTTCCCGATGAGTACAAGTCCTGCTCTCCGATTGCCGTCAAGGCTACGGCTGGACTTCGTCTTTTGGGCGATGAAATGAGCGGCAAAATCTTGGATGCCGTCCGTCGCCGCCTAGAGACTGCCTATCCCTTCCCAGTCGTCTCCAAAGAGAAGGGCGGTGTCCAGATCATGGATGGCAAGGACGAAGGTGTCTATGCCTGGATCACAGCCAACTACTTGCTCGGCAAGATTGGTGGCCCTGACGAGACTCCTACTGCCGCTGTTTTCGACTTGGGTGGCGGTTCCACTCAGATTGTCTTCCAGCCCACCTATGAGAAGAGCAAGGCTGGTGGTATGCCCGAGCACCTCGCGCCCGGTGATCACAAGTACGACCTCAGCTTTGGCGGCCGTGATTTCGAGCTGTACCAACACTCTCACCTTGGATACGGTCTGATGACTGCCCGCGAAGCCATACACATGGTGGTTGTCGAAAATATGCTGGCTAACAACCCTAACGACCTGTCCTGGGCGAAAGAACCCATTCCGAATCCTTGTATTGGACCTGGAATGTGGCGCGATGTCAAATTCAAGTTCCCTGCCGACCACCCGCTGGGACCCAATCCCGAGCTCAAGATGGTTGGACCTAAAGACAGGTCCATGGCCCCTCAGTGCCGTGCTCTCGCCGAAAAGATTCTCAAGAAGAGCGGCGAGTGCAAGCTTGCCCCTTGCTCTTTCAACGGTGTCCACCAGCCCTCTCTCGCGAAGACCTTCTCCCGGGAGGACGTTTTCATCTTCTCCTACTTCTACGACCGCACGGCTCCTCTGGGCATGCCTGAGTCTTTCACTCTCGACGAGCTTCACGAGCTGACCAACACGGTCTGTGCCGGCGAGGGCAGCTGGGGTGCCTTCAAGGGCGTGGAAAACGCTCTTACCGAGCTTCGCGATCGCCCTGAATGGTGCTTGGACCTCAACTTCATGATGGCTCTGCTCCACACTGGTTACGAGATGCCCTTGTCCCGCGAGGTCAAGATTGCCAAGAAGATCAAGAACAACGAGCTGGGCTGGTGTCTTGGTGCGAGGTTAGTTAATCCCACTCTTACTTTTCTAGCATATACTGACATGCATTTCCCACAGCTTGCCCCTCCTGTCCAAGGAATCCGGCTGGAGCTGCCGCATCAAGGAAGTGTCCTAAACAAACCCACGGCGTCACGCAAACTATCTTCTTTTAATAATGTCATTCGGTCATAGTGTATGATGGGTTCATGCATATATAGAGGTCCGGGATATGTCCGTTTTTTTCTTTTCTTCCATGTCTTATCTAGACTTGATTTACTGGCGGTTGCATAGGAAATGTATCGATGTTTCATGTTTACAGTAATTGATTTGGAGCCACTTCTATAGATGTGGAAAAAGAAACTGAGACTCCAAGCTGCGATGTCAAAACCGCGATGCTCCCAATAGGGGTCTGCTCCCCGTCCAAGCAAGATGCGAGCAATCTGATCTCCCCCCGAAACCTCTAGCCCGATAGAATAAAGAAGCAGTCATCCCCACCCGTCCTCAACAAAAGAATTGACAGCTCGACCTAACTCACCAAGGAAATGTGGAAGCAGCCCCAATGCATCTCATAGCAATCGATACCGGCTCTCCGAGCGCCGAGGTGTAAGTCGCGTGGACCAAGACGAGTCCCGAATCTCTGGGGAAACTTATAGATCTTGACGCTCCCACGCTCAGCCACGGATTGGAGAACAGGGGGATGGTCTGAATCCGGACCTTGCCCGTCGTCCCAACTTGGCCGCGTGATCTAGACACCAGCGTACGAGATCGAACTTCTTACACGCCAGGTGGAGAAGTCGTAAACGTTGACGAGCAAAGAATAGGCCGCGCTGGTTGATCTTGCAATGAGCCCATGGAGAATAGGTCTTGGGGAGTAAAAACGTCCACAGGAGCGTTTTCCTCGATGAACAGGTAGCTGAGGTCTCCATACGACTCGTGCAATAACGCATTTCGCATTCCTTTGTCAAGAGCCTGGGTGTAAGTCTCGGGAGAGGTTTGCTCTGTCCAGCGGAGGCCGTGGCGGACCTCATTGATGCAGTTAGTGGCACATCAAACTGCAGCACCAAAGTAAGTGATGTCACTGGGTGTTTTGGAGTGTTCAATATAGAACACTGTAACACAACAATAGCCCTGATAAGTTGCTACTGATCGTTACTGAGTGCTACTGAGCCGTGGCGTTCGCTCGACACGAGACGTTCTCAGCGTTGTAAATGACAGCCCTATCAACATACTGTTGCAGAAGAGTTTGTAGGGGTAGGAGTGGCAGTGAGGAGTGACAACAGTGTTGTTCCAAACTCTGTCCCAGGGCTTCAACTTGGATCTTGGCAACGGCTCACGGACGAACTTATAGACATTGGTAACTTGTTGTAACATTTGTCACATATTGACCATTTTCTAGGATTCCGAGAATTGATCATAAGGAGGTATTCCGCCTTCGTCAGCAGCGGCTTTCAACTGCTGGTAACCTTCAGGGGTTTCTTCACATGGATGGTTCTAAAAAAAAAAAATAGCAAAATATCAAGACGCTAAAGATGACAACATGTAGCCCATATGCATATAAAAAATGACAGGCCGGTAAATCGCCGTAAATGAATCAGTACAGTAAGTACACACATCCGAATCAATATCTTAGACATTGCAAGCCACATCAGACAGCATCTTACTCCGCCATCTCCTCAATAGACGGTTTATCCGTCTTAGTCTTCTTACCCTTACCTCCCATAAGCTTCCCAATGATATCAGAGTCCTTCAGCTCTTGAGATGTATTCCCAGCAGCACCAGAACCAGTCTTCGCATCTTCGCGATCATCCTCATCCTCACTAGACGAGTCACCCTCCTTCTTTTCTTCCAGGACACCAAGACCAAGATCCTACAATCTTCCCATTAGTAAAGTCCCTACGCAAAACAGATAACGAAGGAATCATACCATCTCAATATACTGCTCCCCACCCTCATCGGCATTATCAAGAACAAGATCCCCAACCCTCCCAGCCTCAATCTCCTTCTGCAAATCCTCATTCGCATTCTTCATCTTCGGCAAGAAAGCATTAAGCCGCGATAAGAGTTCCGAATCGCCCTTCATGCGGTGTATGCGCGGTTTGGGTCGGCCGCCGATATGCGGTAGTGACGAGGAGGGATCGGCTGGGTTTGCTGCTGTGGATCTGGGTTCGTCACGCATTTCTTGGTCGGAGTGGTCCTCGTCTTCGTTTCCGCTTTGGCTTTCGCTGGAGTCTTCGGATGAGGAGCCCGAAGATGAGGTTGGGTCTGAGTCTGAGGGCGGGTATGAGGCGCGTTGGCGGCGGGCCGTGCGATCTGTTAGGTTCATTGTTTTTGATGGCTTGTTCGAGGTTTGGCTCTTTGCCGCCTGTGGTTTTTGTGTTTCTTTTTGCATGATTCGTGTGTTTGGGGAGGTTTGTCGCCGGGGGTCAGAGATTTCTAGGTGGCTGTGTTGCACTGAACTGTGGTCATGGGTCGAAAGACCGATCTTGAGTCTATTAGACGTGATAGTATATGCCAGTCTGACAGTTGTGTAAAAGACGAAGCGAAGAGAAGTTGAGTTTGAGTTCAACTTTTTTGGTGGAGCACCGACAAGCGATAAGCGATAAGCTTATCTTCTATGCACAGCATGTAGAGACATTTAGACATGGCAAGTATTCTCATTTCCATAATCATACACGGTATTAATATTACAAACATAATTGCGCATGGCATCAGCTCCGGTTCCTCCTTCCACTACGACTGCGCCGACGAATTGGACTTCTGCGACGGCTTCGGCTGCGTCGACGACTAGGGCTCCTTCGGCGACTGCGATCTCTTCTGCGACTAGGACTAGGCCTGCGACTGGGACTCCGCCTCCGACTGGGACTCCGCCTGCGACTAGGACTTCGTCTGCGACTGCGGCTTCTTCGACGGCTTGGACTTCGTCGGCGAGGTCGACGATCTTCTGTGTCCTTTTCCTTTTGCTTTGGCTTTGGCTTTTCCTTTTCCTTTTCCTTTTCATCTTCTGGTTCCTTCTTTATCTCCTTTTCTGCGACAGCCTCAACGTCTTCCTCCTTTATGGGAGCCGCATCATCATCTCGTTCAGAGGGCGGCATGTAACGGTCAATATCACCCATTCGTGGTCGCTGATCTCGCTCTCGTTCTCTCTCTGGGGTCCGGACCCGGCGCCTAGGTGACTTGCTTCGGTTGCTCGTGGAAGGCACGTAGCGGTCGATATCCAGAGTGGGGGAAGGAGAGCGACGCCGAGAACGCGAACGCCGTCGGACGGACCTAGAACGGGATCGAGAACGGTCTCGGGCCCGGATTCGAGGGCGAGACCGAGAACGGCTTCGCGAGCGACGGCTGCGCGAACCTCGACGAACAGGTGAACGAGAAGGTCGGCTTCGTCGCCTGGGACGGTACGTTTCATATTCTCGTTCTCGCTCGCGGCTACGGTCAGGGCGTCGGTCAAAATCCCGGTCACGGTCTTTAGACTGTGCTCGATCACGCCGGACCACGGAACGGCTACGGCTCCGACGATTCGGTCTGTAGCTTCTATCATCGGGCCGATTATCTCGGAAGTCACGGTAACCACGGCGCGAATCCATGTCACGGTCACGGGATCTCACAGAGTCTCGGGACCGGTCACGGCGGTCAAACAGAGATGTGCGTCGTCGGCGCGAGCGACTACGGCTTCGATCACGCATCAGATGCCGAGACGGCTCCCGGCGATCTGTAATTGAGCCGCGCCTTGCTTCGGAATGGCGGGATGGGCTGGCCGCTCTGGTTGAGGTATTGGAGTACTTGTCATTGGCACTCTTGGCCGCTGCTGACGCCGGTTTCAAGCCATTTTCAATGGCTTCAGCCTCTTCGAAATCAAACTCTGGCTTCATTCGAGCCTTGGCCGCGAGTTCTTCGCCTTCTTTCAGGAGCATTTGCAGAGCAGCCTCCTCCAATGACTTTTCGTCCACTGGGGCTGGAGTCGGGTCCTTTGAAGCGATGGACTTCTCTCGTTTCACGTCCCGGGGCCGAGGAGATATGCCGCGATCCGGGCGACAGTCAGGAGAACGATCACGGAAACGTTCCCTGTCGCGGGTGCGACTGCGATCACGGTCCCAGTAGCGGTCCCTATCTCGGTCTTCTCGCCTCCGCCGCTCGTATCTTTCTTGTCGTTCTCTTTCTCGCTGGTCATCGAGCGTTCGTTGTTCCTCTCGCAGGCGTTCACGGTCAGCTCGTCTCTGTTCATCGATTTCCTTTCTTCGAGCCCTGTCTTCTTCTTCCTTCTGTCGGTCAAGTTCGCGCTTCTTGCGGAGCTCTTCATCCTTGATCCTTTGCTGCTCTTCCTCGAGCTCCATTTCTTTGCGCTTTTCTTCCTGCCATATTTTCTCCCGCCTATCACGGTCGATTTTCACAAGGGCATCGTATTCCGCATCGGTCTTGTTTCCTGCCTCGAGTTCGCGCATAGCGACTTCATCTCCAACTTCTTGGCGGCGGATTTCGCGGAGGGATTCGAGGATAAAGTCGGCGTGTTTTAGTGCAAGCTGGTCGATTGAGTTCTCCACATTCTTATAGACATCACCACGATCAACAGCTCCTTCGATCAAAGTCGCGGCTTTTCCTCTCTCGCGAGAAAGCAGGGCGGGTTCACGATCAATTTCTGATTCGGCGAGCGCCAGCAGCTCATTGGTAAACATGGTCCTGGGTTCCTGGTAGAAAGAATTAGCAACGTAGAAAATGGATGCGCGACATAGGATATGGAAATAATCATACACCCTCATTGAAGCCGGTCCAGAGCTGCTTGCGAACAAGATCGAAATAGCCCTTCTTCTTGAACGCATGGCGGAGTTTATCCATGGCTGCATGTTGCACGGGAGTAAAGGGCAGGTCCTCAGTCTTGAATTTCTTGCACCCCATGGTTTCGATATCAATAGGCCGTTTATTCGTAGAGGTATCGGCCTCTAAGGCCTGAGAAGAATCCATCTCAGAAGCCATAATGACAGCTTGAAGACAAGCCTGAAGAGAGATTCAGGTCGCGTGCGATAAGCGATAACCTAGGCACCGGAAGAATGGTTGTTCCGTGATTGGGAACTCCGGCCCGCTGATTTGCTTCAACCTCGTCTCTCCTGGTCCATTGCGACAGCAACTTCATAACTCCGCCTCCATTCAATCTGGCCGCTGTGGTGTTGAATTACTCAATCCACCCAATCGCCACGTCTACCTTTTGAGACGGAACTCCCCCGGCCCGCAAATTACAACCACCTGCCCGCGCCCACCCGTGATCATGGTTCACAAGGTGCTCTTCTGGAGCGGCTTCGGTACGTGATATACCCCTCTCCGACTTTCGGTACTCTATCGCAGCATCCTTTATTATTTTAGTGCCATTCTACGGGGAATTAAGACCATGTGACCTAACTTTATCCTTCCCACAGGCATCGCCGTCCGCCTTTGGCAACTCGGTATCGAGATGCGTCCTATCCTCGCCAAGGAGTCCCTCTGGGTCTACCCTCTTTTCGCTGGTGTTGGTGGTAGCTTCGGCTACTGGATGCAGGGTGTTGAGAGCAGACAATTGAAGATGCTTGCACAGCGCCGCGAGGCCATTCTCGAGAAGCGCCGACGGAGGGATCAGCGCGAAGAGAGCGAGGGTGTCCTGGCTGCTGCCTCATAAAGCAGCAGTCCTTAGTAATGGACATGGTTTTTGTGTGTATGCGTTTTTCTATTTGTACCAAAATTCAACCGGTTTGATATCAGCATTCGGGTATTCGCATCTAGTGAGCAATTCTTGTCACGGGTGCAATGGCACTCCTTGTGTCTTTTCAAAATTATTTTTAGGAATAGATTCCTCATTCTGTCTGTCTTTTCTCTCTTTCCTGGGTGTAAATTCCGGGGTACTTGCATCATAGAGCAGTTCCAAGGTTTATATTTGTGTCTCAGGCAAACTGAGTCAGCAGAGAGCGGCGCCCGCCCAGACCCTGGGTCGACTACATCATCAACTCCATCCCGGAAGCACATCTACTTATTGCGCTCGTCATTCATTGGTTTTTTCCCGTCTTGCTTCAGTCTAGAACTTAGTCGCGCGCCCTGGCCCTTTCTGGGTCTCTTCTTTTCTCTCTCGCGATGCTTACCGTTGTCTGTCTTTGAAGAGTCCAATGCCGGCACCCCGTGGCATCAATGGATAACCGCGGCTCCTTCTTCTTTTTCCTGCTGGTTTTCTACCTCCTCCTTAGCTCCCAGTCTAGACCCCCGTTGGTTAACGAGGATCGGGAACGGCAGCGCGAGCTTGGCCGCGAGCGACATGCACTTCGTCTATTGAATGGGTCGAGATATGGCGACTTCGATCCACCGGCCGAGCGATGGCTTCCTTTTGAGGGGCTGAGGAGTAACGATAGCTACGCATGGGACCTGTTTCCGCAGGTCAAAGACCGTGCTCGCCACCAATTGCAGTCCGCCATTTCAAATGCCGGATTGGAAGCTCCAGGTGGTATAGAAGACCCCACTGTCTCGCCTACCCTGAACTTGACCAAGCTTCTCCTTCCCGTATATCGCAACTCGACAGGAAAGCTGAGAGGAGACTGGGTACGACGGATTGAAGATCCGCCTCGCCGTACAACTCTGAACGTCACTGCCATCGCCGAAGAACATGAATACTTCACTCATGAGTTCAGTCGCAATATCACTGGCAACGGGGGTACCTTTTACTTCGATATTGAAGAGGGAGGTGGCGAGGAGCTTCAAATGGGCGATGGTCTTGCAAGAGAAATGAGGGCGAGTTTGACCGTTGAGAGTGAGGACTTCTGGGGAAGTACCTGGTACCTTTCGTTATTCGGTATACACTTCCCTGACACCGGGAGTATCGTGTTGACTACCTCAAGCGAGAAATTTGGGGGCATCTTTTCGCTGCCACATTTCATGCTGTCCGCCGACTCATACAACTTGTCCCATAACCTTCTTCTCAAGTCGCTCTCGGACGCTATCTCGGAGAAGCAGAATCAACCTCCGACACTATTCCCTTGGCCTTCTTTGGCAGGAACAGAGCAAATCGAGTTCCCCGCGCCGAAATGTGAACATATCATTTACCTACAGCAGCACCCTGTTATGGTCGGTGATGCTGCAGCTGACCGATTATTACTGGAGCGCATGGAACAGGAGCTCAGATACCCCATGGGCGCGCCGATTCCAGATCCTCCTCTGATGGTCATGTCTGCTGTCGTCTTCTCCCCGGACTGTGGATATATACTTGAAAGCAAGGGAACACCCGACTTCCCTCCGACTGATACGCTATATTTGTCCGGACCCAAAAGCGAAGAGTACAATAAATACGCAGCTCGCCTCGTTTTCGTGGTTTCCGGTGTATTTGTTGCACAAATTACCCTACTTCTGCGCCAAATCAAAGAAGCCTCGACTCCTTCCACACGGAGTCGGGTCAGTTTCTATACCATCGCATTGATGGCGCTTGGCGATGCATTTGTCTTGGCTTTCATTGTCCTGGAACTCTACGCAGCCATCTCATTCTTGGTTCTGACTACTGCATCATTTTTGGCGTTCCTCTCTGTAAGTTATATTGGAATGAAGTTCATGATGGAGATATGGGCAGTGCAGGAGCCGGAAAGGCGTGAACAAGATCGTGCGCCCAATCCAGCAGCGCCCACTACACGCCCAGGAACTTTGCCTTTACCCGCGACTGCTGCCGCGGTACGAGACTCGGGGGCTACTCCGGTCATATTACCACCTGATCAAGATGCTCCGGATGACGAGACAGAACCACCTGCGCCCACCCGAACCACGCCCCCAACTCCAAGACAAATACGCAGCGACGTTGGGGCGATGTACGCAAGATTCTATTTTGCACTGTTCGGCATGCTTATCCTATCCGTCTGGGCCTTCCTCCTACCAAGACGCCTCGGCTCGATCTACACACGCTTGCTGGCAGCAGTCTACCTCTCATTTTGGGTCCCGCAGATCTACCGCAACGCAATGCGAAACTGCCGCAAGGCGCTCCGCTGGGACTTTGTGATCGGCCAGAGTATCCTGCGCCTCTTTCCATTCCTGTACTTCCTCACAGCCCGCGGAAACGTGCTCTTCATCCGACCAGACTGGACAAGCGCCTTCGTCATGACCGGATGGGTCTGGACCCAGGCCTGGATCCTAGCCAGTCAGGACATTCTCGGTCCGCGCTTCTTTGTACCGCGAGGCTGGGTGCCACCTGCATACGACTACCATCCCACACTGCGTGATCTTTCTGGTACAGATGAAGATCTCGAAGCTGGCGGTGGCATGTTATCGATTGCATCACTGCGGGCTGATGAGCGAGATCTGGTCAGTGATTTCAAGGACGATGATAAAGATAAGCAGCGGAAAGATCGGAAGAAGGCTATATTCGATTGTGCGATTTGCATGCAGGATATCGAGGTTCCTGTTCTTCCAGCGCCTTCCACTGGTGGTGGGAGCAGTGTCGCTGATGGGGCTTCGAGCATCTTGAGTCGTCGTACGTACATGGTTACCCCCTGTCGGCATATTTTCCACACTGCTTGTTTGGAAAGCTGGATGAGACTTCGGCTTCAGTGTCCTATCTGTCGGGACACTATCCCTCCTGTATAGACGTGATGATTGTAATGTTCCCATTAAATAGTCCATACTCATTGGTATATTAATCCGCTTTATAATGTTATGTTGTTCGAGAGCTATACATGCATCGATATAGATATGTAAACCATAAGTTTACAAAAAAGTTAAAAAGCGATTTACTTTGAACAGAATCTTGTTGAACAGTAGGCCAATCCACAGAGGAATCGACAAGTCTAAACGCTTTCGTTGAAGGAAACCAGCCATTGTCAAGCAACAACAAAACATACACATGACAAATAAAAAAGAAAAAAGGAATAAGTTCCAACCACATCAAAATTAAGCAAGCATTATATATCACTTGTCTCGTCTACACAAATCCAAATCTAAGCATCAATGGTAGCCTTGTAAGCAGCCTCATCAAGAAGCGCCTCAAGCTCAGCGGCATCAGCAACCTCAATCTCAGCAATCCAGCCCTCACCCTCGGGGCTCTCGTTGATGGTCTTAGCCTTATCCTCGAGGATGCTGTTACCACGGATGACCTTGCCCGCAACGGGGGAGAGAACATCGGAAGCAGACTTGACGGACTCGACGGCACCCACGGGCTCGCCGGCCGCGATCTCGAGATCCTCCTCGGGGAGCTCGACGTAGACGACATCACCCAGGGAGTGAGCGGCGTAGTCGGTGATACCGATCTTAGCTGGAGAGGGTGGAATGGTATGTTAGCTACCCCGCTATTCATATATGATAGTGGACAGTATAATATGCATGCGCCACTTCGAACCAAGTGGTGTGGTCGAGGGCGAGGGTATGCGTCCAATTGACAAGGGAGAGGCCCAACTAACCGGTCTTGCCGCCGTCGGCCAACTCAATCCACTCGTGCGACTCGGTGTACTTCTTCAGCTGGGCTAGAAATGCGAATTGATGCGCCGTTAGTCAAATGTGACATCATATAGCCCCGGAGGGCATATATCAAGCATTGTGAGGCTTCGTCGCCAGCCGGAGTATCTTGTATACCCTCCTGGACAGCATTGGGGGCACACAGTACTCACAGAGAGGGCTCTGGGAGAAGCTCCTGGTTCCCCGCGGGAAACGGAAAGCGGGCGAAGCCCGGCAGGCGGGAGCCAGAGGCTTCTGGGCAAGCACGCGAGAAGCGAAGGGGCGGACGGCGCGAGCGACGGAAGACATTTTGGAGGGATTGAAGGGATTGAAGGGTTGGAAAGGGAAAAATGGGGAGAGGGGAGAGTTTAAGTAGGGAAGGAAGAGAGAGGAGCTTCCCCGGCGGAGTTTCGTTGACGCATTGGCTCCGATAAGGAATGCCAAGAACTGATAAGCCGGCCGAACCTTGCTGGATTTTGCGTGGCTTCAAATGCTTCATTTCTGTCTCTCATCGGGTTTGCACCATGTTGTACGAGCTGATTGCCATTGTACGTTGTTTTCTCGAGAATTGCGCACTTGTCTCCATATTATTGTTTGAATTTGCTAACCCGCGCTCCGCTTATAGGTCCGCCCGGGCAGCCTCAACGAGGTGCGAGAGTACGTCTGAATCAATCCCATCGCGGTCTCCATCAATCGGTCATCTCGAATACTAATATTCTCCCTGCAGAATTGCCCGTAACGCCGGTGCCCAGGTCATCCGCTCCGGCGGTGTTGTCCGCGGCTTCACCAACTGGGGAGCCTTCCGCCTGCCCCGGGTCACCACAAAACATCAGGCCCGATACTCTGAGGGTCACCACTTCATCATGCGCTTCGATGCCTCCGGCCCTGTCCAGTCCAATGTTCGCCGGACTCTCGGTCTCGACCCCCGTATGATCAACTTCTCCGTGGTTAAGCTGGGCGACAAGCTTGAGGAGATTAAGAATGTCGAGGGCAAAGTTGGGTGGAACAACATTCGCCAGATCAGCGACACCATCTAATCGGCCTAATTCTTTGTCTGACGTTTGTTCGGCTGTCGATATCAGATTTTGGAGCGTGGATTTGGTTTTTCTTTTTGCATTATTGTTTGTTTTTGTATCATTATTGCACGGGCATTGGGATTACCATTCGACACTATCAGCGCGATTGGCGTATACTGTACAAAATACCAGTTTGATCTACAAGTCTTTGTGTTGCTTTGAGTAACATAGATTCTGTCGGCATATATAAAAGTGTGCCGGACGCATCTTTTCCACGGCTTTTCCACACCTCGTGGGCTTTTACCAGTATCTTCAGATGAAGCTTATCGCCAGCTGAATGAGTCCTTTTGCTAACGTTATATAGAAACGAGGATCTCAATACTTATAGCGCTAAGGCTCTCGAACGCCTCCACATAACCAATCACGGTTAACTAATTTCAAACACGCAGCCATGTCCCCTAGGTGCACTGAAGTGTTTTAAAAGCCATCAGTCCCATACACCTGTATGTCCTTTAACATATCTTGGCCCTCAAATATCACATTCGACATCCTTAGGATTGTGCCGCGTGACTAGCCGAGGTATCGGCCAGTCCCGTCCGAGGTACCAAATCCGATACGTCTACTTCAATTTCCTTTCCAACACTCGGTATCAGTTCAGCTCAGTTCGCACTGTCAGGCATACCACTCAAAGCAAGTGGTGTACATCCCCGCACTTTAGTGAACAATATTCACGCCGATCACTCAGGGACAACCTTGATCGGACAGGTACAGGTACCATCACCGGGCCGCACCTCAACGCCTCATACGGAGTATCAAGTACCATTTTCGGAAAACTTGAGCCCCCAAGTTGAAATCGAAAGATCTAATAGATCGAAAATTCGAGTCTTCTTGCCCTATGTCTCCACAACACCGGGCCCCAGACAATGCCAGTGACGAACCGGCGTCCCCGCATTCATTCGTTGAATTGATGTCATTAGAACGACTCGAGACAACATACATCTCGTCCGAAGATTCAGCTGGGTCAGACAAAATCGAACGATTCCGCTCTCTGGCAGCGCCATTTCCTCCTGGCGAGGGCTCGCGCTCATTCGGCGGACATGTTTATGCGCAATCCGCATACGCAGCGTCAAAGACTGTCGAACGGGGACTCGTAATCCATGTAAGTTCCTACAATTCGAGGTCAAAGCCATATCCCCAAAAAAGCAGAAGGAAAAAGCCCACGCTACCCAGGAAACATAAACACAAACACAAACAAAAACTAACCCCACAAACCAGAATATGACAGGCACATTCATCCTCCCCGGAAAACTAGACACACCATACACATATACAGTCCGACACATCCGCGATGGGTACATGTACAGCACGCGCTCCATCGACGCCCGCCAAAACGGCAAGATCTGTTTCACAGCCATCTGCAGCTTCAAACGCGATGAAAAACAACGCCTATTCAACCATCAGCCCTCATCAGCACAAACACGCTTCAATTCAATCCTCACATCCAAGCCCGCAGAAGACCAACCCCTAAGTCCAAGCGTCGATGCAGACTGGTGGATTGAGAATGTCCGACATGGAAATATAACCGAACGGCCATTCCCCGGGCTAGACGTGCGTAAGACTGATATGGGGTCTTTCAATGGTTCAGCGTTGGTTAAGGAGGAGCCTGAGCGGTATCGGCAGCTTACGCAGTATCGGCTTAAGGGGTCGCCTGAACTCGATGGGGATGTTGGGTGGAAGGTTGTTAAGGAGAGGGAGGAGGCGGGTGAGTATGATAATCTTTATGTGTGCGCGCATATGTATTCTAGTGATAAGAATTCTTTGTTGCTTATTCCTAGGGCGTTGGGAATTCGGACTTGGAGTGAGATGGCTAGTCTGACGCTTACTGTTATTGTTCATTTGCATGGGGAGGCGTTGAGGATGGTTGATTGGGGGAGTACTGGTGCTGGGACTGGGACTGGGACTGGGACTGGGACTGGGACTGGGACTGGGAATGGGAGTGAGGAGTTACCAATGAAGTGGTTTGTGCAGGAGGGGTGGACGCCTAGGGCTGCGGAGAATCGGGCGGTGCATGAGAGTTTCATTTGGGCTCCTGATGGTTCGTTGATTGCGACTTCTTTGCAAGATAGTATGTTGAGATTGAGGCGGTTGGCGACGGAGTCGAATTTGTGATATTTTTGTTACATGGCTAGGTGGTGTGTCTTGTATATACCTGGTGCTTTTTAGATTAAATAGCTAGATGGATACCATTGAATCAGGCATTGGCCTTTCTTCGACTTGTTATTCAGTTCTATAGACATTGGATCATGAAATCAATCTGCAAAAGCAGCTCTTCCTTCGATTAATGAGGTCCATAAGAGGTAACCGAGTATGAAATATATCGCTCAAAAAGACAAGGGTATAGTTTAAACAAACAAGACAACACAAAACAACCCCAAATCACTCAAATATCCTCCCCAGAAATATTAGCATGCTTGAAATACTTCATCCCAACCCAAGCAACAACAACCCAAACCCAAGACATAACAGCGGTAAGAATAATAAGCGCAGGATAATACCCAACAATCGGCAACGTAGGATCATCCTCCAATTCCGGCGGCGCATACGGTGTCTCACCAACATCCCAAGCCCAACTCCAAACCTCAAAGCAACTCCCAATACCAACAACAAACACCAACCATGTCACAATCAATATAATCCACCCCCACCATTCCGTCTCCGAGTAGTCCCAGTCCACATCCGCACTATTACCATTATTCTTCATCTCGACGGGGTTCGAAGCTAACGGTGAAGACTTCGGTCTGTGGACGGTTCTGTATGCTGTTTCGGATTGTGGTGCAAGTGGGTAGAATGCGTCCGGGCTGGACGACTGCGTTTGCGTGGAGATGTGTAGACCAGCGGCGGCAGCAGTGGTTTTCGGACTTGTCCCCGTCCCACTCCCAGTTCCGGACGTCATGATTGAATTTGAACCCAGGCGCGGGAACGAAACCAGGTCCTCATCGTCTGTGGCTGTTTCCTCGCCGTGCAGTGTCTGCCGCGCCACGCTCTGCCGCCGCCGTGTTATCGGCGGCCGAACCGTTTTCAGTGTATTATTATTGTGGAAGAAGCCCAGGTCTGCGTCTGCATCGTCGTCGATGCTGGCGCGCGGGTGGGATTTGGGGCCATGTTCTGCGGAGGGTTGGTGGTTCTTTAGGGAGGAGTGTGGGAAGTGATCGGGATCGGTGGGGAGACGGGATATGGAGGTAGATGTGGATGTGGCAGTGTCTGCGCGACTTGAATCGGCGGCAATTTTGGCGGAGGTTGAGGTTCGTTTTTCTCGTGATTCTAATCTTGGGCCTAGTAGTGCTGTTTTCCGGAGTGAGCCACGGCGGCGGCGCGTGCGGCGTTGCGCGAGCGCGGCGGACATTGCGCGGCTGCTTGTGCTTGTGCTTCCGCTGTTGCTTGCATTGCTTTGTCCGCTCTCGTTTGTTGGCATGCTGGATTGGGGGTCCATGGGGCTGAGGAAGGAGAGTCGTGCGAGTAGAGAGGCTGAGAGGCTGCGTTTGTGGCTGGATCGGCGATTGGGTGAACCGTCGGACGGTGGCAGGTCCGCATTGTTGGCTTCCATTGGTACGGGAAGTTGCCGTCAATCCACTGATCTGGGGAATGCTTCGTTTCAGGGGCTTTGAGTGGAAGTTGTATACTGTATGTATGTATACGGTGAGAAGTGGCTGTATGATGTGGCCTACTTTGTCAGGCACCGATTCCCCCTGCACTGTAAGATTCAGGTAAAAGACTGCGGATTAGTTACCACTACATTTATTGGGACGGTTTTATAACTACATGTACGGTAGTGTTGGGCAATACTCGCAGTACACATCAAGAAACATGGTCTATGGCCAATGCAATGCAATGCATGCTAGAAACAAAATCCAAACATCTAAACAGAAAAACCAAATTGGTATCTGGGCTAAAACGCCAAAGGTGTCACGCAAGGAAATTCATCACAGCATATACGGATATTCCATGTCATCCATAGCTCATCTTCCAATAGTATCAAAAGACTGACAAAATCACAAAGTAAAATAATACATGTACTCGAATGATGAACTAGAAAAGCAAGCAGTCCAAATACGCGGTGAGAGAGTAGGGAGGGCGCTTTTATTTGAGAGCATAGCCAAAAAAATCCAAGGAACCCTTGATCGCAAGGCACGCTTAATGGAAAGAAAAATGAAAAAGATCGAAATCAACACAGTGGACTTGGGGTATTGGTGCGCAAGACACAAATTCCGTTTCAGACAAAAGCAGTTTGCTCGCTTGAAAATCCACTCAGGAGACAATTTGAAATAAAGAGAAATAAAGAAAGAAATATCAACGGAGATGGGGAATTGTAGAGGTGCTATGGAGAAGAAAGACAAGAAGCAAAAACATGTTAAGACAACTTGGTTCTGTTAGCGAAAGCCGAGTAACCCGACTGCAACCTGTTCACGAAGAACCGAGCTACGCCTGGTAGCCTCCGTTGAAGTTGTTGTTGGACTGGTCCCAGTTGCCAGAGGGGGACATGGGCTGGCCACGACCGTAGCCTCCGGCGTTACCTGCCTGGGGATAACCCTGACCAGGCATGGCGGGACCGGTGAAGTTGTTGGCTTGTTGGTCCCAGCCTCGACCAGCAGGGGCAGGACCTATTCTTGTCAGTAATAGTTCAGACGGAAGGGAGGTGGCAGGCTAACCTTGGTTCATAGGGTTCGGAGGACCACCGTACTGGGGGAAGAATCCAGCAGGGCTGTTGTTGAACCCGGCGTTGGCTTGCTGGGGAGAGAAGGTGTCGTACTGGCCGGTCGGAGGGCGATCCTTGCCCCACTGTGACTGTTAGTAAACGCAAAAACACGGCCGAACATTAGTAACTTACGCTGCATTTCAACGGACGACCGTTGACATTATAGCCGTTCAGCTGGCAGATTGCAGAGGCAGCGTTCTCATGCGAATCCATCTTCACGAATGCAAAGCCACGGTCAGCCTGGAGACGAGTCTCAAGAACATAACCGAAGTTCTGGAAGAGCGGAACCAAGTCGTTTTGGGAAGTATAAGGAGTGAGGTTGCCGACATAGCAGGTAGTCTGCCACTGGGGAGTCTGCTGAGCCACCATGTCGTAGCTCTGGATGCCGTGAGTAGGGAAGTGGTGGTGACCGAAAGGAGTGGTGGGAGTCATGCCCATGGCAGCCATAGCCTGCTGCTGAGAGATCGAAGGCTGACCCTTCTGGTTGGCCCAGTTGCAGCGGATGGCACGAGAGCCGAGCCATTCACCGTCCATCGAAGTGAGAGCCTTGTCAGCCTCAGCGCGATCGCGGAAAGCGACAAATCCGTATCCACGGGAGCGACCAGTCTTCATGTCCCACATCACACGGGCTTCCGATACTGAACCGAAAGCAGAGAAGGCCTGTGACAGTACCTCGTCGTTGACTTCATTGCTCAAGTCGCCGACGAAGATGTGGAAGTGGTTAGAGGTATCCTCCTTGTTGGTGCTGTTGGATTGGTAGGCCCAGTTGACGCGGATTTCCTTCAAATCAGTCAGAACAAAGCCAGATTACCGGAATAAAGGGAACTCACCGATTGGTGAATCCGGCGGCCGTTCAGGGTCTGCATGGCTCTCTCAGCGGCACCGGGGTCGTCAAACTCCACGAAACCATAGTTGTGGCCCTTGGTGGTGAATTGGCCCTAGAAAACAACAAGGTCAGATACGGATCATTTTTTTCTCTCGGGGAAAAGACAACAACTGGTGGAGTACCACGGAGTTTTATCGGTGCACACGGGGGATGCACGATGCAGGGGATGCCCGTCAGGAGGACTCACATTCTTGTCCGGAATGATCTTCACGCTGAGCACGTGGCCTGTGGTTTCAAAGATTTGCTTCAAGATGTCCTCAGTCACCCTTGGATCCAGTCCGCCCACGTAGAGAGCTCTCTTGTTTGGTTCGGGGGCGGCTCGGCGCACGTAGCCTCCAGCGCTTGTAGGAGACATCATATTGCTTCCGGACATGGGGGACATGGCGGTCGGGATCGGATTGGTATTCTGGGGAATGATCACAGGGGGACGCGGGGGCGGGGGGCATGTGAGACGGAGGGCCCTGGCCGTTGCCTTGAGCAGCATCGTACTGTTGATTGACAGCAGGAGGCTGTGGCAGAGAAGCAGCTGATGCCTGAGCGTTTTCAGCCATTGTGACTTCTTGGAGGAATCGTCGATGATATTCCAAAGGCGATCAGAGGAAGCGAATGAGGCAGGTGGTGGTCGGGATTAAATGTCAGACTGGGGGTCCCGGTGGGCGACCTGTCAAATCCGGGGCGTTTGAGACAATCCAGAAGCTTCGCTGAAAGCCACAATAGCAAGAAAGACCGGAAAGTATAGTATAAAGGATGGGAATTAAGGGGAGCAGGCCGATCAAAGATGAAGCTAAACAAAGAACGGGTATAAACAGTGCTAGGAGACACCGAGAGCCCGTGACGGAGATAATACGATCGGAGGGTAAGGAGGAAAGACCCAACAAACTAGGAAAGAAACCTAGAAGGAACAAGAAAAAGAAACAGAAAAGGAAAAAAAGATGGAGAGATGAAGAAGAAAGAAAAGAGAAGAGTAAAGGGAGACTTAGCCGCTAGGGGTGGGGGGAGGACACCAAACCCCAACGGGATTAGCCGCACGACCTCTCTTCTATCACTCTTCCTTCTATCACTTCTATATATCACTGTCACTCTACGCATGGCTGGCTTTGCTGATCCACAGTCCCTTGGGGACCTCTCAAGTATCATAGAGCGCACGGTAAGTGCTTAAGCATGCCTCTCAATACACACAGCTTGACACTCTCTAGCTCCTTGACACCGCTCGTGTGTTTCGTAAGTCGGGTTCCATGCCATCCAGAGCCCATGTGCAGCGATCCATCCCTTTCTACCATGACAGCTTCCAAAATGCCCTGGATAACCTGTCGGAACAAATTGTGAGTGACATTGGAGCTTGCTCCCGTGACTCCATGCATTCCAAGTCAATGTTTGCTTTTTCCTCGCTAACCATCCACAGTTCATCGCCAAGGCATTCTTGGAGAAAGACTATGAGGCTCTCAAGGCGACCAGCGCTGTTCATCAGCCCATCGAAGATGTGGCCATGAGCGATGTCAACCAGAAAGTGGAACCTGAAACTCAACCCCTAGTTGAGAAAGTAGAGTCCGGCACGGAGCTTGAGCAACCGGCACTTAAGCTAGAGGAGGGGATTCCTGTGAACCAGCCAGCCCCAGAAACAAAACCCGACATCCAGGATGACCACGTAGTCGTCAAAAAGGAAAGCGACAGCAAAGCACCTGACTCAGCATTTCCCGGCACCAACGAGGATCTCAACTTCGATTCGGTTCTCAACGACACGGGCGGCACCAACGACTTCGACCTCAGTCTCGACTTCAACGATAACGACATGGGCAATCAAGCATTCCTGTCAGGATCCAACTTTGCCGGCGCGGGCGCCACGGGAGCTACCGAGAAGCCGATCACATCACAGCCCATGGAAGCCACTGCCTCCACCGGTGGCGGTGCATTCGACATGGAACTGCAAAAGACCGAAGGGGATGACAATTTCTTACAAGGCAATGCTACGGATGATTTCATGGCACCGGCCGAATCTAACTTTGACGATCTGTTCATGGACACAGATAATTTCGGAGAAAATGGCGGCGACTTCAATCAGCTTGAGGGGGATAGTCTGATGAATGTCAATGAGCTGGATGACAATTGGTTCAGTTAATCCGACGATATGTGATAGATGATAGATGGTGGGGATGAGGTGAATTCTACATGTACACTGCCGGAGATGCAGATTAGCAATAGCCAGTGCTGCTTGTGGGGAAATAGTCTCCTGCGATCTGCACAGTTGCATCCGGCACTAGTGATCTCAAGCATATGTCGTCTCTATGACACGTAATCTGGATGAGTGTACCCCGTACATTTTATGTGTAGGATGTCTCATGGTTTTGTTAGCGAAGGTAACAAAAACATTAGTAATGTTCACTACTGCACTTACTACATATAGGCAGGCTTGTGGAACATATGCACTGATCAGGCAATAAAAGTACAAAATTCACTAGTCACTACTAGCACCGGTTACGGTGGATGTGTTATCTAACGGCTGTTGCCAATAATTATTAGGCCACAATTTGGCATGCTTACAATGTAACGTACACATGCCCTTTCAATTTTCTAAGTTGACACGGACCCGGTGAATCATATTCCGGTATGTAACCTCTAGGTCACGTCTGAGTAACCTGACCAATGTTTTCGCCTTGCAATGCTTGATGGCCCAAATCGTATTTTGAGATACAGACGCGCTCATGAAAGATCATCACAGTTAGCACGCTATGTGAACTGCATAGCCATCAATGGGGATTGCAAAAGCAAATTCGAGGCTTCCAGGTCCGGAGTATCTTCAATGTATCAATGTAAACATTTATAGCTCCACTTCGTGTGCCTCCTCCTACCTTCAGGCAGCATCAACAGCGGAGTCCTTGAAATAAACAAGCCACTAGCATCCATTTACACGGAGCTGGAACATTCTCTGGGCTTCTAGTGTGTTCTGCAACCCGAGATATGGCAAAGCACATAGATGTACACCGTTGCCTGTCACTGGGGATAGCAGACTCCACTTTACGCCCTATGAGACATGTGCAGTGCCTTTACCTTTACCAGCCGGCTTGTGGCTGTGCTAGCTCTCCGTCTCCAAGTCAGAGAATATGAATGGGGCCCTTGTATGGAGTATACATACCGTGAAACGAATACGGCTAGGCACAAGCTGAAGTCCCACCTGGGCACCTGGGCACCTGGGCACTCTCGACTTTGACCAAGGTTGAAACTGCTGTAAAGCTCACATGGAAATGACAGCCAAGCGCGAACTGCGCCAATAACTATAATGCTAAGCTCCCCTTTTAAGAATAAGATACTCAGAGCCAAAAAGCGGTGTTAAGAACCCCAATGACGTAAGAGGCAGTCCCAGTTGAAGATCGGCACACCCTGGAGGATCCAAATCAGGGCAGGGGAAATTGACTATCAGAAAATCCAGAACTGGAGCACAGACGGGGGTTTGGCCTCTAATTCTGGCCCGTTGTCTTGTCAGTGGAGGAGTTAAAGTTGTTAGTTAAGTTAGCCTCAGCCCATGGTCGATGAGGTCATCGGCACGGGACTACCTATTCTAGGTACACTCGAGTCGAACAGTTGTCAAGCACATGCGTGTCGTCATGTATGCCTAGGTTGAGGAGTGTACCAGTGCATATAATGAATATTATAAGACATTGAAGGGGGTGTGAATTACTACTGCACATGTACATGTATGGATCGCCAGAGTTTCCCGAGGAAGGTTCCTCCAGTGGCTGACGGCTGATCCATGTGACCAGTATTGCGCGTACTCTTAGATCATACCTACGATTAAGTAGAGATTTATATTTTCGAGAATATAGTTCCCACCTAAGGATTTATAGATTTTATAACACATAACTAAAGTATCATAGCCTGGTTGTATATAAGAATATTACAAACTGATCATCCCCGCAGACTTCTACCCGAACTACCCGTAGATGCCGTAGATGCCGTGAATGCCGTGAATACATTACCTACATAGAATGAGCATTAGTACCGTAAGGTCAGAAGATTGAGGGACTAAAGGCCGTTCGATCCGCTTTATACGGAGAAGCTCTCCAGAGCCCAATGGATCGGATCGCCGGAAATGAGCCGTGGCTTTGCCAATGGTGTTGTCATCGTCTTGGGTCCATCCCGTGGATCGGGGCACCTTTGGCTTTTTTAATAGTTCGCCTCTCTTACTTTTTATACTCTTCTATTATAGTTGGAGGGATTTGCAAAGAACCACATTTATTCCCCCTCACGGCCAAATCCTGCATCTAAAAGGATCTGCGGGATGATCTGGGACCGCTTATGAAGTCAACACCCCAAGAATTCCAGGGCTTCTTTTTACTCCTTACTTTGAAGGGACACAAGGGGGACAGGTTTCACAAAGGTGAGTCTTTGTCAACATTCCTAGAACTCCCTTCCTCTGGACTATGAGATGGGATTCCCATCTCTTCCTTTCACGATGCCCAACTCTGCACGATGATGGGAGCTAACGTCCTCCCGCTGCCCGCGCAGTTGAGCTCGCGGTCAGCAACAACTAGTCCAACCCACTCGAACTTCACAGGAACGCCCTCGTTAACAGAAACCATCTCCAATTTCCTACCATCCCGGTCGGCTCGTCGCCAGACAGTGTGCTTCGATTCCCTCGATTCTCTCTCCCGCGAGGAAACCTTCCCGAAACAGAGTCGCAGGGACTCGATCCTCAGAAAGCTGGCGGGGCCACGTGAAAACGCGAAGCGGTTCCTTCGCTTGCGCTCATCTGGAGTCCAGGCGCCTTCACTACGCCTTACCCCGCGTGGTGTACGACCAGTCTCGGAGATTATCATCGCTTCCTCCCCGCCGACATCGGTCGACTTGGATCCCGATATGCGTTCCGAATCCTCCTCCACTACGGAGGTGATGCCCCGGACTGTGTCGGATCAGGATGTCTCGTCGTCTGATTTGACTATACCGTTTACGCCCTTACATAATGAGAAGATTGTTGCTACCGGCAGTGGGATTTCTGTCGGTATCGCTCTGACAGAGCCGGTGCTTTATCTGCAGGGCTATGACCAGCATGACCCGAGTAGTAAAAAGTCCGCTATTTTACGTGGACAACTACATTTGAAAGTGACCAAGTGCATTAAGATCAAGAAGATATCGATCTGTTTCCGCGGCCATGCCCAGACCGACTGGCCAGATGGTATGTCCAGTCCTCACTGCACATCTCGATATCAACTAACCCTTGTGTAGGCATCCCGCCCAAGAAGATTCATTTTCACGATAAGAAGGATCTTGTCACTCACGGCGTGATCTACTTTAACCATGGCGATACCGCTCTCATGCAGAATGATTACGGCGCGCACTACTACCAGCACGCCAAACCGATATCAGCCGTACCAGGCAAGGATGTAGTGACCATGTCAACTCGAGAGCTCTTCTCTAATCGAAGCTCCGTCACTACTCTCGCTCCACCTACCAGCCGAGAAACCAAGCGCCTCTCCCTGCAGACGAATCGCGGCCACTCGCGCAGTTTCAGCAGGAATGAGCCCCCGGCCACCCAACCCCAGCCTCAGCGCAACTACCGCATGTTCCCTGTGGGCGATTACCTCTACAGCTTCGAGTTCCCCATCGACGGCTCATTGCCTGAGACGATCAAAACAGATCTCGGATCTGTACGTTATGATCTGGAAGCAATGGTGGAACGATCAGGCGCGTTCCGACCCAACCTTCTGGGCACCATGGAGATTCCAGTGATCCGCACCCCGGCCGAGGGATCGCTGGAACAAGTCGAACCGATTGCGATCTCACGGAACTGGGAGGACCAACTACATTATGACATTGTCATCTCAGGAAAGTCCTTCCCGTTGGGCTCGCAGATCCCGATTGCGTTCAAGTTGACACCACTAGCGAAAGTGGAATGTCACCGCATCAAGGTGTACGTGACGGAGAACATTCAGCACTGGACTGCAGACAAGAGTGTCCATCGCTTGCAACCAGCGAAGAAGGTTCTGCTGTTTGAGAAACGCGCCGACTCGCCTAGTGTGAGCACATACCCCGGTAGCTCCATGCGTGTCACTGCAGGCGGCGGCATTGACTGGGATCACCGCGCAGCTGCCGCAAGAGGCGAGGAGATCGTGGATCGAAACCGAACGAATCTGCTAGGCAATCTATCCAACGACTCCGGCGTCGGTCCCACTGAAATGGAATTCAATGTCCAACTCCCAAGCTGCCACGAAATGAAGGGCCGTGATGAAGGCCAGCGCCTCCACTTCGACACAACATACGAAAACATCCAGATCAACCACTGGATCAAGGTAAGCAACCCATCCCCCATCCACACCAACTATCACCCATACTAACAAACCCAGATCGTCCTCCGCCTCTCCAAGGTCGATGAAAGAGACCCCACAAAACGCCGCCACTTCGAAATCTCCATCGACTCCCCCTTCCACATCCTCTCCTGCAAAGCAACCCAAGCAAACATCTACCTCCCAGCCTACACCAACCCTGCCACGGATCCGGAACCCCCAGCCCAAGAATTCGAATGCGGCTGCCCAGGCGCACCCCCGCGCCCCGCGATAGAATTCCAACCCCCTCAATCTCCGACCGCGAAGATAGCAACCCAAATCTCGCCCGCCGCGGCTCCACAGGCCACACCTTCGCCCGTAGTTTCACCAACGGCTCGGGCGGTCTCGCCAGGCCCCCACAGGCCCACCTTGCCAACCCAGCCCTGGACCGCGGGCTTAACCCGCCCAGACCGATGCACCTTCTCCGCGCGCCGTCTTATGCTCCCCCGCCCTTTGAGGATGTACCCCCTCCTCCGCCGCTTATTACTCCCCCGCCGGAATACACCACTATCGTCGGCGATGGCGATCGTGAGAGTGTGCTTGAAGATTACTTCTCGCGGTTATCGTTCTACGAGGAGCATGAGGACGATGATCGGGGACGGGGTCGTGTCGATGTCCCACTTACGCCTGGTGGCCGTGTTAATCGCAGTATGGATGTTCCGCGTGAATGGGTGCGTATCGAGGATTATTTCCAGTAATTCACGCACTCTTCACTTAATATCTTGATTCCGGGTCTTGGATACTTGAGATCTTCAATCAAGAATCATGATTTACATTGTACCAGCACCTCGGCTGGTTTCTATCAAAACTGTCACGATGTCTGAATGAAGTTATGTCATGTTCGTTTTTGTTTATATCGAAATTTTGGGATTTTGGTCTTCTCTCTTTTGGGATTTGGATATTTTGGTGTCTGGAGGGCATAAGGTCAGCTATCTCATCTATAGATCTTCCTGTGGGTTGGGTTTTTACAATTGGGTTATGAGTTGTTGATATTTATGTGGACAAAAGGCGTTCCGTTAATATATTTTAGATCTTTTCAACTGCTCAGTATAGACAATAAATAGTAGATAGTAGATGAGGTTCAGATGTGTCAGCGATAAGCGCCGCATCCAACTGCCTTCCCCGGTTTAGACCTCCCCACATTTACTCTTCACTTTTCTCTCTGCTCTCTTTTCGATTTCTGTTTCTTCTGCTGCTCTACTCTCTCTTCTTCTTAGATCCTTTCTCATTGAACACAAACTTCAACAAACCACCCGCCGGCCCCCTCTCCGCCCAGGCCCTTCCTGCAGGATCTATAGCCCACCACGCTCAAGACCACTGATTGGCTCAACCTTCTATACCCATTACAGGGTATGCTACAATCCTATAATCTCCCATCAAACAAAATCTCCAACATGACCACACCCAAATCTAATAATCCCAGTACAAACCGGAGCACATTCAGCAGACACAACCCCTTATCAACATTGACAGCGGGGTATTCTTCCCGTAGCGACATCCACCCATCTCTCACAACCCCAGTCTCAACACTTGCCGATATCCTATCCATCTCGAGGCTTCCTCCTTCCCCATTTCACGTTCCATTATCTACATCTTTGAGCCTCTCAGTATGCCCATTGAAGTCGTCCCCCTCACGGAGGCGGATATCCCCGGCGCTATCGAGGTGATTCAGCAGGCTTTCACTGACGATCCATATTTCAAGTGGGTTTTTGATGAGGATAAGGTATGTACTGTTAGTGTTACTGGAGGGGAGAGGGAATGCAGCTTTGTATTCAGTTTACGTGTGTCTGTAATTTACATGTATATGTATATGGGATATACTCTTGAATCAGAAACAGAAAAACTAACACCCCTCTCTTTCCGTAACGCGTCCTGGTTCAAACCAGCCGTGTTACATCCACAGAGAAAGCAATATCCAGTTCAACAAACAAAGAAACCATGATTCTCTCGCTGCACGTTGTCGCTGGGGAATCAAAAATGCAATTTTCCACGTCGCCAAACAAACAGAACCACTACCCTCCACCACAAACCAAATCCTAGGCGTATCCTGCTGGCTCCCCCCAAACCCACCCTCAACCCCCGAAACATGGACCAGCACACTCCAAAACTGGACCCTAACCTTCTCCCAAATAGCAAACAACATCCGATACATAGGCCGCGGCGGGCTGCGCACGAACAGGTACTGGATCTGGAAAGAGCGGCAGGCAGAAGCGCAGAAGCAGATCTGGAATGACCCGCTGGGTTACTATTTTTGTAATATTGTTGCTGTTAGTCCGGATGCGCAAGGGAGGGGCGTTGGGAGGATGTTGTTTGAGGCTGTTACTAAACGTGCGGATGAGGAGGGGAGGAGGTGTTATCTTGAGAGTTCGAAGAGTGTTCCTAATGTTGCTATTTATCAGCGCATGGGCTTCGAGATGGCGTTGGAGATGGAGTGTCGGGATGGGAGGGATGCTTGTATGGTATGTTTCTTTTTCTCCCCCTTTTTTTTTTTTTTTTTTTTTTTTTTTTTTTGGTTTGGTTTGGGAGTTAGGATTTGAGAGTTTAAATCTGGGATGTTGGCTAACTTATTTTCTTTTTCTGTTTAGTTGTACTGCATGGTTCGGGATCCGAAGACTCAGTGATTTGTTTTTATTGCTACATACTGTATCCACTGAGTATATATATGTTCAATGATGCATACTCAGTTCACGCTTAGCTTACTCGGACGTGAATAAACCGCAACATCTATTAAAGGTACATATAGTAATAACCTACTATGATCCCCAGTTCCCAGATTACAAACATCTAGACCATAATCGCAGATCATATTCCCTGAAAGTAATCAAAGCCTAGCCCAATTCCAAATCCCAACCCTCCGATCCGATCTACCCACTCTAACTCCCTGATCCACAAAAGGCTAAAAGGGTAGCTTAAACCTTATCGAACTCGATCGATAGCTAGGATCTGTGTACCGGGTGATCCACGGGGATGTTTTGACGTCCATCTTTCCGTTTGCTTTCGATCCCGGTATTGGATTATCACCTCATAAAGATCTAACGGTTCTACAAAATATTGAAAATATTGTGGTTTGGAGTATTGAGTAGGGGACTTGCATGTACCCCTGCTGCATGTTGACAAGAGAGGCAGGAGATCGTGGTTTGTGTTTCTGTTCCTGTTTCTGTTCCTGTTCCTGATTACTGTAAAGTTAGTTTTGGCTGATACTCGAATTATCCGGTAGACAGGGCATTGTTCCCAGAAATGTATACTGTATGCATGTTGGGTTGGTGTTTCAGACTCGGTTCGATTCTAATTTCTTTTCGGCGTTTGGCAGGTTCGTGCTTGTTTGAGTTGCAGTGTTGGTTTGGGCCGAGGCTTTGTGGAGTAGACATTTTAGATATATAGTTGGGCTTGAGAGACTGGTTAAACATTTTACGATTATTCTCATTAAGGTATATTCTTCGTCTTGATTTACGCTGTGAGTGAGGCCTCTAAAGATCATGATCGTTGTGCTAATAATTGCTTCTATCAGTCTTTACATGCCATCATGTCCTTCCTTTTGCGAAAGCTGTGGTATCGAAAACGCAGATCAAATTCCGAAAAAACGCCCTGTCTAACTTCAACTTCCGAGGAGAACAACAGACGAAACCTCAAAGACCAGGGCTTTGGCCAAAGCCCTAGATCCAGGCTCCCAAATGTTACTTTCTCCTCCCACCCAATACTACCTCATTGCAACCAAAACGAAACGGAGATACTTGTCAACCGACTAGCTGCCCTGGCAGCTACAGTGAGCAACAACGCCAACAACGAACATCAATCCAATGAAGCACCCTCTACACATACCTCCGAGGAGGCCGAAGTCGAACTAGCCGAGGAAGAAGAAACATTCCACTACCTCACTAGCCTAATAACAATCTCCTATCAAGAAACACCAACCCACACCCCAACATCATCAGTTTCAAGTTTCGCATCCAAATCAGGCAGTGGAAAAAGCCAAAACTTTGACCGGAAGAGGGCTTCTTCTATTCTCAGTTTGCATATTGATCTGCCCGCATCGTCCTTGTCGTTTCCTTCTCTTATAAAGGGCCCTAGAAAGCAGGGTCCGATTCGGTATAGTCCGCTTCCACCGCCGTTTGTACAGAAGGCGCTTTTTATCAGGCCTGAAGTGAGGTTTTAGGGATAAATTAGGTGGCGTGGTGGTTTGGTTTCTATGTTTGTACCTGCGTCAATTTTATATCTTGTCTCGTTTGTTTGGTTGTTTTACCTGTTTTGCTTTATGATATCCAGAGTGAAGGCATTGTCCATTACATATTGCTGGAGCCTGTTATCTACTGCCTACAGCTACTTTCGAAATTGTCTGCTAAAATTATAATATGTTGTTGTTTTAATGTACCGCGGTCCGAATCATTCAAATCGCGCCTAGACAGTAATGTCCACAGTAGCCTTCCCACTACCGTTCTCCACAGACCCTGCAATTAACCGCTCTACCAACCCAAGCTGCAAAAATACAAAAGATTGAAGATGCCACATCATATCCCGCGAGGATCCCCCACGCCAACGCAAGAAACTAAAAACCTTTCATAAAACCCAGCCGTGCCCACCCTTCCGAAGCGAAGACCTAGAAAAGGGAACCGATCGTCGGACTGCCACAGAACACGTACATGTCCACGGGTACCCCGTGTATATGCAAGACTAATGCCGGCATTTATATCCAGACAATCAGAGTTTTATGCTAGATCATCCGATATTATAGATTCCGTAAAGGATGTTTGGAGCCGACTCCTATCCAAAAACTTGCATATTAAATTTAATTATCTGATTCGCTCGCACGCCCATCGAATAGGAATATTTCCTGCGCTATCTATTTTCCTTGTTCCCGCCATATACATAGGATATATCCATGACGGATCCTTGAACAGCTTGCGCATTCCCTTAATGAAATACTATAGTGGATGCGATGTGACGCGACGAAGACACGGGATAGACCCTTCCACAAATTGTGGGGGCAAAGGGGACTTCGAGCACTAGACTAGATACTCGGCTAAGATCAGAATTTGAAATCCAAAACAGTGATCGACTTGGCAGATGATGAAATGATCTACATTTGTTTACCCGTGTCTAGCTATACGAACGGCAGTTAGATTATGATGTCAATTCGAAAGGAGATGGGTGCGGGCCCATCTCCGTGCTAGACAAGACAATGATAGACGGCTTGGAACAACTGCCGTCGGGCTATCTGAACTCCGAGTCGGACATATACCGATATTTGTTCACACTGCCGAGCTGTCCCTTTATATATTCATACTTTCATTTCTAAACGTATGACGGCCTTCTTGGGAAGGTGGGTAAACGGTTGTGGCTTCGGGACTCTACCCGAAAACTCGATTTGCGGCAAAATGTGGTGCTGGAACCAGATTATAGCCGGATGGTGGTGTGGATATGCTCTATCAAGAGTTATGGTTGAAGCTTACTGTGTTGAGGTAGCTTGTAGCTTTTGATATTGCCCCAAATAAGGTTCGCCTCAGATCGATTACGAAATCAGATCTAATGGGAAAGGTGCAGAACGTGGAGTTGGCAAGTTATATGCCAAGCTGCAAGTGAAGCTGAAACTGGGACTTAGGTGGGGGTCAGTTTGGAGTTTGGAAGGCCAAAAGTACACTCCACTTTGTTGCTACCTGAATCCTTAAGGACCTGTATCTTCACTGTTGCCTTGATTGCAATACTACGGAGTATTGTTGGACATCCTTTAATTTATATGGTACAAGCCATCCTAATACGGACACGTAAAAACAAATCAAATCCCGAAGTAAAATATTAACAATTTCCACTGTATTAAATAAATGGCTTGTTGGCCAATTTAGCCCAGTTCAGAACAAAGTATCATGGCTATACCAACGAATCGCAAGATTTTCATTCCCAATTTATTTCATTGACGCTACAATATCAAGCAAGCTACAGAAGCAAATAACTGAAAAAACAAGTGCGGGTACATCTCTGGACCATTTCTATCCAGCTGGGTTGAATGGACGGATTTTATAAAGGCCAGCAACAGCCCATGAGCAAATTTCCCGAAACATGGGCCCCCCTGTCGGTGGCTAAGTAGAGCGATGGTCAGTGTCCAGACCAGGTATTAGCCGTGGCTCTTAGCGCCGCGGTTGTTGAGCTAGGGTACACCGGCATTCGCTCATATACCCCAGCGGTAGGTTGCATATAGCGCAGTTTTCCTTGGAACCAGGCAAATAGGGCGGTACCCGGAGAAGACGGCAATCAAAGGGATGTTTTGATGTCTCAACTCGTCTCGATACAGACATGCGATTCAACATTTCGAGGTGGCAGTGTACATGCATACATGTAGAGTAAAAGGTTGGGGACATGTGAAAGCACCAGACCATATCCTCAGAGGTCCAGCCCTAAACATGCGGGCTCAGAAAGTAGGGTACGCAGGGGCCCTCTACCTCTAAGTTCGTTATCAGGTACATGTAGAAACAATATAGCATGATCACAGGCGCGGTAAGGGCCGTCGTCGCAAGACGAAAACGAAAAAAGGGAACTGAAAACAAATTAAATATAATAACGTCCTGTCATATCTCCAATAGATCACCATCCGTGTCCGTTGCCGGATTCAGCCGCCGGCATGCCTTCATAATCTTCAGGGATGGCATAATTAGAATACAGTATGTTGTCGGCGAAAGTACTTGTAGTACTTAACAGAAAGCGATTTAATATTAGAGCCTGTTATTGACTCGCTTCCTATTCCAATAAGTGCCCGACGCGGCATACAAGCTCATCCAAGTCAGACCAATTAACAATTCTGTTTGATCACAAAACAGCCAAGACAGCCATTGGACGAATAAACAACGGACAACGCAATGGCGTTGGATTGAATGCAGTCCATGCGGGAAGATGGAGAAAACGCGCACCCCTAGCGCGGAAGAAGGAAGCCTAGATAGTCGGCTCATTTCCCGAAATACATGGCATGGCGTGACTAGTTGGGTGGAAGTTTTACATGGATTACGCGAACTGAGCACTACTCCAGAGATTGATTTATAGTTTGGACTGAATTAAACCTTGGTAGAGTAGGTAACGGCACTTGATTAGAAACAATCCAGGCCTGGACGCCCTGGTGTTCACTCCGGCTCGACCGATGGCCCCGAAGTCCCGCTTATTGATCCACCACCTCGTATCTTTTAGGCGGGAAGCCCTAACTTGTCCTTACTCTCTAAGCCCCATATGCCTATCCGCTTTGGGTTCTCAGTACTTGCATGGATTCCCCTACCCCTCCATGGTCCCTGCCGTTCCCGGTACCTTGCAAGTTATGTTAACCGGTTATCATGCATAGAACGACTTTCAACGGGGTTGTCTAAGTACCGTTTGCCGGATAAACAGGGAAATTACAGGGGAAATTACAGGGGTGCATAGATAATACTGGCGCTGCAAGTGTGGTTGAAAGGGGAAGTAAACTCGAGACTTTTTGATGGCACATGAAAAGGTGGTAGGAAATACTTTAGGACTGGAGTCATGTATAGCATTGAAGCTTTAGGTAGCGGCACAGTGACCCCCGGAGCTCACGGAGAATCGGAGAGTGCGTGGAAGTGCAGCAAAGCGGGCTTGACTGGGGGGAACTGGCCCCAGGGTATTCTACACT